GTGTGTATGTACGTCTGTATGTACGTCTGTGGTCGCCGGGTTCATAGCTGCGCTATGAACCCGGCGACCCGAGTTCGATTCCCGCTCACGGCCAACACCAGTGTCTGAACCGGTCCCGGGCCTCCCCTAGGTCGACTCAGCCTAAAATGAGTACCTAGTGCGATGGGTAAACATCGCCGCTAGGGAGACAAAGGCGGTCGGGCGTGGTGCTGGCCACCCACCCCCTCGTGTGCCGTGCTGGCCTTCATAGGTGCTCGCTAACAGCACTTGCCCCTACAGTCTGTTAAGGCTATAAGGGGGATCTTTGTATCTTTGTTTTGTGTTTGTGTGTATGTATGTGTGTGTCTATGTATTGTGTGTATGTGTTTCTGTGTATGTATCTGTGTGTATGTATGTGTGTTATGTGTGTATATGTGTTTGTGTGTATGTGTGTGTATGTATGTGTGTGTATGTGTTTGTATGTGTTTGTGTGTTTACGCTCGCATTACACAAATGTGTTGCAGGTCTAAGGCGTTCCTCGCGCAGCATTGCCGCTTTCTTTTTTCAGTCGTTTACTGCCGTACGCCCCTGACAGTCGTGTGTGTCTGCAGCAAGCGCGTGTATGTGTACCTATGGACGCGCGCGCGTGTGTTGTGTAGGGGGAACGGTAGTGTAGTGCTTAGCGTGCTGTGTGTGTCTGTGTGTCTGTGTGTGTGTGTCTGTGTGTGCGTGTGTGTGTGCGTGTGTGGTGTGTGGGGAGCGGTAGTGTAGTGGTTAGCGTGCTGTCTGTGTGTCTGTGTGTGTGTGTCTGTCTGTCTGTGTCTGCGTGTGTCTGTGTGTGTGTCTGTCTGTGCGTGTGTGGTGTGTGAGGAGCGGTGGGTGTAGTGGTTAACACTACGCTGCGCTACAAACCCGGCGATCCGAGTTCCATTCCCGCTCACGGCCACCACCGGTGACGATTATTTGAACCTCCCCTAGGTCGACTCAGCCTCAAACGAGTAACTGGTGTGGCGTATTAACATCACCACTGGGGAGACAAAGGCGGCCGTGCGTGAGTGGTGAGGGAGGGAGAGTGGTGAGGGAGGGAGAGTGGTGAGGGAGGGACTCAGCCGCAAAACGAGTAACTGGTGTGGCGTATTAACATCGCCACTGGGGAGACAAAGGCGGCCGGCCGTCGTGGATACAAGTCCCGGGCGAAGCCGGGTAGTACAGCTAGTTAGCTACAAAAACCTACATTTCATATATTTTTTTTGTTTAAACCCCAATAGCACAAAAGGCCACATAGTTGAGCAGGCGAAGTAGTAAAGTTAATTATTGTTAGCGAATATTATATTGGAGGATGTTATAATAATCCGTTAAATGTCTATTTGGATGTAATCAAGGTAAGCTGAGGCTATCACACACCCCACCTCCCGTGGCCCTTTCTTCTTGTCACACGAATGTGGAATTTCCACCACTGGATCAACACCACACATGGAAATTAGCACCACCGGGTGCTTGAGCAATGTAGACACTATGCTGCTAAAGCTAACAGCAGTAAACGTTGCACCTTTAATTAATAGGACAATTCGTTAACGAGGCCCATCTTAACGAAGCACTATTCACAAGAAGAATGTAAATGTTCTTAGGTTTTTTCGGTAAAGTCACGTAGGTAAAACATTAAAATTAATAAAAATAAAATAAAAATCACGACGTTTCGGAGGCAACACAAGCTTCCGTCTTCAGGTGGAACCGTCACAGCCACGACAGCTGTATCAAGTAAATGAGAGATTGCTTTATACAGCTATCGTGGCTGTGACGGTTCCACCTGAAGACGGAAGCTTGTGTTGCCTCCGAAACGTCGTGATTTTTATTTTATTTTACTTTTATTAATTTTAATGTTTTACCTACGTGACTTTACCGAAAAAAGCTAAGAATATGAATCCTTGCAGTCACGAAAGCTTCCAATCTAGAATGAATGTAAATGATTCACGAGTCTTTTAACAAAAGCTCTCACAGCCATTCATTGCTCGGTTCTTGCCAGTTCACTGAGGATCGTAACGATTCGCAGTGCCCTTTGACGGTGATTTGTCCATAAATAGGTAGCCAACCTGTCAGTTTACATAATATGCACCCTAACCTGTAGTGTGTGTTGTGAAAATACGTTCAAGGCTAAATCTATTTTATTATTTGTTACGTAACTGACCCCCAACTACGCGTTCATCTTGTGCTGAAGGCACTGCTACTTGTGGGAAGCTCATAAGAAGGATGCAGTGGGTGCTTTCCAGTTTAGGTTTGTTGCTGTACATATATAGGATAAAGGTGCAGCTCTGAAATATCTTTGTCACATCACTGCTGGCGGTAGGGCCTATATTAAAGGGAGCTCTAGATGGCATTTTGACTGACCAAAGCCAAGAAGCTCGACTCAGCCTACCATCCCTCTGGGGTCGACATAAATTAGTTAAATTTCGTGAGAAGTGTGCAGTGTTGTTATATTCAGAGAATGACATCCATCATGACCATGTGGCATTTCCACCACTGTGGCATTTGCACCACGGATGTTCTCTAATGCGAGACAGGGTGTCTTGGTCTGTGTTCATGCTGGTAGGTTCCATGCCTGAGGTTTTGACTGTGGAATTATTAGCATAAGAAGATTAGTATTACACATCTGCTCGGTATAAATCGACCCAATAGATTAATATTCTTTATTCAATCTGGATGGTCATTGCACCATTCCTCCTGCTGTCTCAAGAGAGTAGCCAAGATATGACACTGAATCATTATTATTATTATTTACTATGTATGTATGTTGAACTTATTTTGCACCGTCCGTAGCCAACCGTGCTAATAGGAGGTGCGGGGGAAGGACAACTACTACTACTACTTCTGTGTGTTCGGCACATTAGAATAATCGTTTCTGAATAGATGTGGTTATTTTCTTAGTTCATATTTACAGCCAACACTATCGTATAGTAAGTTCAATTTGAGAATAGGCTAAATAGGAAGGCTGTTGTCGGGAGTGAGGTTTTGTAATTGAACATTAAGTAGATTTTTTTAAATCTGTGGCATTGGGGTTACCACCTCACATGATATGAATCTGACAGTATGATCCCCAGAGCAATTTTGCTAACCATCGGTTTATCCTCATCAATTTTCCATGCACATCTTTTTTCAATACTTTGATTCATACGTGGAATGATTTACCAAAGGAACATCGATCACTATCAACCATCGTTTACTATTTTGCTGAGCATGGCCATGTAGGGAGGTCTACTGTCATCGTTCTGTGGATATCCTGACCCCTGCCACAGGAATGTATAACTTCCACCAACGGCTCAATGTCACCAGTGCAATTGAGTACCGCCTCAATGCGTGTTGAGTCAGGAGACACGTCGACTTAGGACTCCATTCTACTCATTTAGTAGTAATAATATATTATTAATAATATGATACTGTGAGTTTTTAGTCAGTGAGGCGTCTGTTGCTTTGGTAGTGGGTGGTTATAATGAGAGTTGTGCAAGTGTGAGGAGATAAATAAATACGTTTAAAACAAACAAAAAATCATCCTCTTATTGCTTGCTCAGCTTCAACTGTATTTCACTTAACCACGGAGTGACCAGAGTACAGTGGATCATGTTTAATTCATTCACCAACCTCTTTTGTTCTGTATTGTGCCGATCCTGTGCATTGCATTGTTGTTGAAGAGCATACATTCGATATACGGTAAAACAATAATCCCATTAAAAAATATCCATCTCATGACTCACCGATTGTGAGGCAAATCACTCCAACAATGGCACAAAATCGGAAATGTTTTACTTAAAAAGTTCACCCCAAGCGTTGAATGCATGTACGGTGGTCTGAATGCACCAGGTCGTAAAAAAACACGCCTGATATTAGATGCACTCAAAAGAATGAAAATACAATCTCTAATTTCGGAGATAATCATTTGCAACCTGATCCCCAGGGATTGCCGGCACATATCAACGTTTATTTGGCGATGCTCCTTCATCTGAGTGAAATGTTAGCATTTATATTTATATAGTGTACGCAGTGCTGGATTAAGCTAGTGCAGGGCCTGTAGCATTTGTTATAAAGCAGCCCTGAATTTAAAAAAGCACGTAAATATTAAAACACAAAAATTTTACTTGCATAGTGAAGTAATTGTATTGTTTTATTTTCTATGCAGCCAGATAATACGACAAATCTCTAACCTTGAATACCCAGTCGTTCATAAAAGTTGAAGGCAGTATAGTACTATAGTAATGGAGCAAGTGCAGAATCACTGAACCGGAATTGATAGCTTGAAAGCATTTAGCGCGGGGCCCTTGAACGTGTGGGGCCCGTAGCATTATGTAGCTACTTTTGCTCCTCGGATAATCCGGCACTGAGTGTACGCTTTTTCGCATTTTATCAAGCAGGTGCCATTAGTCATACATTTCTTAAAATACATAACTCGGGAAATTTGCTACATTTTGCAAACTATTTACAATGATGCAACTAAACTGTTACCTAGCAAGTTCACCCTACTCGGACGTCTGTGGAGAGCTGTTCACCTTCTGACTCAGCGGTGGAAATTCTACGTTGTTATAACAGGGGTCATGATTATTGTTGACCTCTCACAACCGTAATATTTATTGTATCAACTCCAGTGAAACGTTGGGCTCAATTAACCTTCACCCGGGATTTCAGTTCAGACACCTGCACGGGCTGCAAGGTGCCAGGGGACGGCAGTGCAGGAATGGGTTCGGTTCGCAAGATTTTGTCCACTCGTTAGATTGAGTCTGTTGATTCAACTTTATCGGAGTGGGATTTAAAGAGTTATCCCCTCATATAAGTGGACCTTTCTCTGGCTACTCCTTTATCCTCCCACATGAAGCCAAATATCCATAAATGACACCAAACACCTCAATGCAAGACCCTACTGAATAATGTCCTAAGACTCGTTGAGGCTGGCAGATATTCTACACTTACACATGCTCCAGAAAAGTATGCGTGCATCCATAAGCAATATCCTGCATTTGTAACCTACGGGCGTGCAGGATACAGAGACATGCAAAGGTGTTCCAGAGGCTGCTGCAACACAGGATACCAAAGCTTTGCCAACACTTGGTGAGTAATCCTGCATGGGGTTCCGCACTCGTGCTGTACACCTCTCCCATGCATGTTTGGATTATGCCGCGTGGTTATTCGGCGCGTTGTCCACATGCCGGAGACTGCTCAATTCACTTCCTGCAGAAGCTCCCAGCATGCGTGGTGAACAGAGGCGTAGCTAGGGGGGGGGCAGGGGGGTACATATGTCCCCGGGCGCCAAGGTAAAGGGGCGCCAAAATGAGGCTTACAACGTTACATTATAACTTATTGCGGCGGGCGCGGCAGCCTGAAACTACTGCACAAATCTACACCGCAACCTAAAAGTTTATATATCCCGCCACACACAGCCTACATGTCATGTAATTACATTTTGGTATGTGATTAAACGGGGGGGGGGGGGGGGGGGGGGGCGCCAATTTTATACTTCGTTCCCGGGCGCAAAATATCCTAGCTACGCCACTGGTGGTGAAACGTCGGACATTTTCCCGAACAAACAAGGAACGGCAAAAGCTACACGAATTACCTCTCCTTAAGCCCTCTCTTTGTGGCTATCAGACCTGGACATTGGCGTTTAGCTCCCAAGCATTGTGAAATGCACAAGAATAGGATAGAATTGGTTATTAATCTAAACGTATGTGGATAAAATCTCGTGTATTTCAATTCGTATTTATAATCTATGTAGTCATTTCCCTGGGGTCTTGCAACCTCTTAAAGATACAAAAATAACTACAGAGCACATTCATTCTTGCAGCTTTAAGTTATCATTTTGTCCATGTGATCAAAGATCAACTCTCCAAAATCTCTGCTTGGCAGACTTCACGCTGCTTTGTATATGTTTTTATCCAACTGGACGCTTTTAACTGACCTTAAAAACCCCGTTCCTGAGGTTATTTTAAATCACGCCATGAACAGGCAAATCACAACCGTATTGACCCAAAGATAATGATTAAATATGAGGCTTCAACCCAAGCGGCAGTCGCCCCGTGTCCACACAAATAACACATCCCTCCGAGCCACTTTCTTGTACATCTCGTCCAACACTGAAGCAGCGGAGTGGAATCCTAATTCCAACGAGTCTCCCTGCTCAAACAAGCGTTGGGGTGCTGCACAGTTACGTCGGTGGCCTTGAGTCGGTGGTGAAAGTTCACCGTTCCGATGGCAGGGGTCAGTATTTCCACAGAACAATGACTGTTAAGCTCCCACACAGCCACACTGATGAAGTTGTTCATGAGCATTTTATGGTCGCAGATTATTCTTTGGTAAATCGTTCCACATATGAATAAGAATAGCATACAAAGGAAAATGATGTATTTTATTTTAAGCTATTATTACCCGATTAGTCCTTTATTGGTTTTCACAGAACAGTTGGTAACGTTGACGTGTATCATTTCTTCAGATAAGAAGCATTTTTGGGATTTCAGATACAACTCTATGACAAGATCAGTATCGCAGTTGCTGCGAGCCAGATGGCTTTTTAGACCAAGAGCTGAAAGAATGGACACGAAATGAGAGATAACACCACATTGTTACAACAAAAACCAACCAATGATCGTTGGACAGAAAATGACCCGCAGCCATCCTGAGAATGACAATGTTCCGATGCTGCAGCTCGCTACACCAGGCCTGTGAATGAGAATTGTAATGTGGCCTGAATGATCGCATGTGTTTCTGACCTTCCTGCAAGGGTAAGATAGTGGTACTTCATGGAATAAGCTGACAGCCACTGTTCAAGATGCAAAACTAAATATTTATCTGGGATTTTTTTTTGTTTGAGCCAGTATTTTTATTTGTTTTTGTTCAAAATAGAGGGTTTTCGGTTAGACCACGTAAATATATGTGTCGTTAAACCCGCCACCACCTGGCATGGCCAATTAGTAAGGTTTGTCAAGCAAATAAAACATGCCAATTCGTTACTAGTTCAGCACACCGATCTTTCCAATTTAATCAGATCTTGGAAGCTAAGCAGTGTTTGAGCCTGGACATAGCTTGGATGGGCAACCATCACACAAAACCAGGCTGCAGGGCCATACAGCAGACAGCGATGTGCAGGGTACCAACATTCATTGGTATACTATACTCATATGCTCCCTATATTCTCCAACCTGCACTGACCAGCGTGGTGAAGTATGGTAAAATACTAATGTTGTATGAAGGAATTGCAACATTTTACACTATGATGTCAAGTTTTGATATCCACTCAAGAAATGTGGGAGATGAGAATTTCTAAGAGGTTTCTGGGCAATGAAGTGTCGTGGGCAGCGTACATTGAACGTGTGATGAATCATCAGCGGAACTCCCGGGGAATAAAATCCACAATGAATCCTCTTTTGTGAGGCTGTGCACTTGAGCCTCACCGAACGGCCGTTCGCAAATTGTCTGAACGCTCTTGACCTTGAGCGGCCGTGCACATGTGTAATTTTGACCTTCAAAATAGGTCCTGTCTCGCAATCGATTACAGAGTGTGTGTGCGCCGTGGTGGCGAGATGTTAACTACCTCGCCTTGTATACAGGAAGTCGTCGGTTCGATCCTGACCCTGACGCCTGTATCTTTGGAGTTTGCGTGCCTCTCTCCCAAGGTCGCATGGGTTTTTCTCTGGGTCCTCCGGTTTTTCCCCTCCACATTTAGAGTCAACATGAGTTGCGAGTGTTTGGCTGCTACAAATTTCCACACGATGAGCCACTTCATTGAGCTATAAGTTGTGCTTAGGTCGCTTCTGATAAATAACTATATAGCTCAATGGGCCTGACCTGGTAAAAAAAAAAAAAGAGTGTTTCTAAACCGCACGTGATGTGTTTTGAGCAGGAGGAGCTGGGCGTGGAGCCTCTCATGTTCATCACTCCGTGGTTCCTCACCCTCTTCACGTCGCTTCCGTGCTGGGACACGGTGCTGGCCGTGTGGGACCTCATCATGCTTGACGGTGAGCACCTGAATGAGAGAGGCCCGGAAGAGTGGACTGCGTACAAAACGGGCAATTAAAAAAAGCAAAGCATGATTATTTTTGACATTATTTAAAGAATAGAACGAGATTTCTGCGAAGCGTGCTTGTGCTTCCGCGTGTTGTGGTCCCGTATTTGAATGAGATGCATGAGAGTCATGGTTTTACTGCAATCCATAAGTTCATCTTGTGTAAACCAGAAAGGCACAATTTTTCATCATGAGCAATGGGTGGTGCTTCACCTTGTTAGTGCTCCTGAGCTGAACGTGAAAATCACGATTTTCATAAGATGCCTCTTCTCTTAAATTACTATCAATACATTTAATCGAATGCCAACAATGATTTGAATCTGTCAATGATTAGGTATATGGATGAAACTTGTCTAAGAGATGTATCTTTGTCTTGCTGCTGCCTGTTGGTTAGGCGGGTTTGCTTGGTTCTCTGATGGTGACTTAAGACAAGATGACCACAATGCATTTCTTCAGGAAATTGTGTTTTTTTTCGTAATGCCTCAAGGGTGACACCTGTTGTGTTCATACCATGTACAATTCTAAACTTTACTCTTTGGTTCCTTCGGTAAAGTTACGTGGGTAGAAAATTTTAAAAGAACCATAGAGTATGGATTCCTGCAGTCACGAAAGCTTCAAATCAAGATTCTACACTTTGTTGAAACCTTTTGTTTTTTCCGGCTTGCACTGATATTTCTGTTGTGATGGATCTTTTTTCCATCATTTACGTATTTGAATTCATACCATCAAACCCAGCAAATAGCTATGACAATGCCAAATATCCACTCAAATATTGGACCAACGCTACTCGTTGACAAACTGAATCGAGAAAGCATGCACCTTGCAAAGTGAGTCTATCTCCCCAGAACCATTAAAGATCAAAGTATCGATGTCCTGGCCATACAACAAATTCATCTCCGAGATGCACACCATTCTGCTTAATACCATATTCGTGAATCAACTTTAAATTCACGGTGTCTCAATGATCAAATGAGCTCCTTTAACTTTGTGGCTCTGACCCACGCGGCTCAATCACTCAACATCATAGCAGCAGGTAATTTAAGAATTTGGGTTTTCTGGGGGGCGGGGCTTTGATGTAAACACGTAGTCTAACATTGTGGATTATTTCATGTGCTTTTAAACTACTGCTTTAGTAGTTTAAAAGGAGTTGCACGACTACATAGTACATTAAAGAATTCAATTCTACAATACAATTGAAAATGTGCAACAGGCCTACCCTAGGCTATATACATCTTATTATTATTATTACTTATCAAAATGTATTACTAACACAACTCAAATGATTTATTCAGCTAATCAGCTTGCTTTTTACACCACAAAAAACCCCAAGCATACGGGAAGACTGGACCAACAAATATGACATGGAATTTACACCACTGGCCCTTATCCCGCAAATACGATGAGCTTCTGCCTGAGTGCTCGTTTGAGCAGTGATGCCATTTGACTTGACTTTTTACATCAATACGGGTAAATTTCAGTGAACATAATAACGTAACGTATCCATCTATGTACATATCCGTGGACACAAAAGGGCTAAAAACGGTGACATTTCATTGTTTCACACGCGTGCGCCCGTGGGCAAGGCAGCTGATAGCATCACTTACCGGCCAAGATCGAAACATTATATTGACGACGTTTCAAAGCAGGCAAAGAGAAAAAAAATAGGTCACGGATGTGCGTAGAATTATAAACGAAAGATCAATTCTGGTTATGATTCAGCATTAGGGTAGAAGGGCTTCATATTGAAATAGGAGTCACCAATATCGGCATGAATGAGGTTTGGTCAGTGATCTGATTGAAACAGAAAACAACATTCACAGGGGTTATTTACAAAAAGTGACGCTCGTGAAACCGTGAATTTCACTTTATTCATTGTGATATTTGTAATCGTTTATCGTACAGGCATCATTTACCCTTGATGGATCTGTTTTTTTGTTGCATACAGCCAGCTGATATACTGCATTATTCGATAAGAGTGTGGGTAATAGGCTATTGCGATATGGCTATTGTAATTCTAACAGCTTTCTGACTGGCCTCCCTGAAGTTTATTTATGCAAAATTACCCCATCGAAACACTGCTGTCGTCTGGGAGCCGTTCGAAGCTGCTCACCAATCAACTCACATTCCACACCATTATTGGTTACCAGTCAGTTGTGGATTGCTTTTCAGATTGCTTGTGTATGAGCTGGGTGGGAGCGCTGGGGGAATCGTGTTATGATTGCTTCGTCTAAGAGTACTGAGCCAAAATCATTGACACTCCTAGTTTCGAAACTTAGGCATGCTAAAAATTGTAGCATGTTCAATGGTTACGAATGGCTTTTATATACAACATTTGTGTGAGTCTGGGTTTTCATCTATCGTCTGTTTTAGCTTTCAGGAATATTATTATTGCAACGTACTATTTCACTTTATATATCAACTGCAAGGGATGTGATGCTGTCGTGGTATGTTTCTTGACTTGAAAATCAGAAAACATTTCCTTGAATGCCTGGCTACCCAGCAATGTAGATGTGTCTACAGTGCTGCAGTAAGTTCAAATGGCAAGTCACGCGTGGTGTGTCAAGGTGTGCGCACTGCCATCTCTTCGAAGATGTCTGGCTAGCATGGACGAGCAGGCCAAGCATCTTTTTAAGAGGAGTGTTTTGGAGTTCCCTTCAGTGAAGGCCCTTCTGCCAGCAGTGGCTTGAGTGAGAAATTGCAAGGCTGCGCCTTTATCTGTCACACATGATGCTGTGGCGGAGCCCGCGGCTCAGAACCAATAGGTTACAACCTCAGGTTGTGGCGGTTGACTCGGCCAGCCGTCAATCCTCCCAGGGCAGAGGATACTAGGACCACTCAGTGTGGATGTCAGCAAGGTCTGTGTTTCTTATTTTGCTGCTTGAGTAGCAATATAAGAAACACTTTTTGCATACACTTCATATGATGGACGACGTATAAAAAAAAGTCCATTCCCTGTGCCTATGAAACAATGAGTAGCTCTGATGAATCTGTGTTACGTTCTACAAAGGTCCCCTTGAAGTGCAGTGCGCTCGCTCCGTCAAGGTTCCAAGGCTTTAATCTCCACCTGGAAGAACTCCCTGTCTCGCTTCTCAAACCACTCGTTGACAGCACACATCGCTTCATTCTCACCAGGGAGGGGCTTTCACAGAGAGTGCTTCTCTATCTGTGGAGACGTCTGTATCGGTAACACTCAGATTTGACCCGATTTTTTTGTTTGCTCGTCAATTAAGGCACGTAATTCTAAGTCTTTGTAAATATGTTCGATTACTGTGATGTAATGACCAAATTCCAATCAATATGTTCGTTAGTTAAATTGAATGCATGGTTGTCCTTTGCTGTAACACCACTGCGCCTATGTCAGACCCCAACCGTTATGATTACCCCTCATTTGAAGGGAATTTCACGTCCAATACTGAGAATAAAAAAGACTACAATTGAAACTACATTATACAGTGTCTAAAATGGTTAGAACTCTTCAATCCCTCAACTTCAAAGTCCGAAGGCAGCTACCACAGAATATTTTTTTTTTATCTGATGCGTAACCTTCACAGATTAGCACCTTTCGCTGCTAAAGTGTAAAATTGCGTTGCCACTTTTCGGCCGCCTCCAGATTATCACGGCCGAGGTGTGTTCTCAGAATTTGAGAAAACTCACCCTACCTGTAAATGCCTTCTCTCCATTTACAGGGGCGTGGTGAGCACCTACGCACGATGGAGAGCCATCCAGTGTTGCGTGCAGACTGTTGGCTTAGCGGCGCTGACATTACACGAACATTCTGAAGGTTGTCCAACCTTGCCAGGTGTCTCTCAGTGTGCAAAGCTTACCGTTTATTAAAAGACAATGTTTTGACAAAGCGTATAAACCCCCAACCCTGTTAATGTCTCATGGCTTTAAGAACGCCCGTGCCTTATTATCACTTTATTCTATGCGTGTGTCGATACAAGCAGAATGGTAGAAGGTAATGGGTTAACTGTAATCAGGTTAATCTATTTAGGTATCTACAACGATAATATCACCGTATTACTCCAATTTCACTGTGTGAGCAGATATACTTAATTTATCATGTACTGGTTGACTACATTGTATAATTGTGATTGTCATACTACTATTAAAAATAACCCATGGCTCGGAGGTGTATTGGCTGGCTGCTGGCTGGGCTTCATGGCTGCGGGTCATTGCCACCGAAAAGGCAGAAGGAGTTTGGAAGACGTTTATTAGATAGCGACAAACATGAGAAATCAAGCATAGCAACACATACCAGGCCATAGAAGAGGTGGCAGTAACGAATACACGAGACTGGCATAGTTAATTTAAAATTGCTCTTTGCTGGAAAGGGCAGCTGTCTTTTATATCCCGCTGTAGAGTCATAGGTTCGCTACTCGTTTTATTTTTTCCATCCAAATATATAATAAAATCAGAATGTAAACTTTGCAAATTATTTTGTCAGGTGATTTGATTGTACATCGTGCTGCACCATGTCGTTGTAACACAGTGCTGTTAGTTATGAAATCAAAATCTGCTCAAAACTACATTTTGAAAAGATCCTACTTTTTAAATACTGATAATGGATATTACATTGTTTCTGTCAAACCTCAAACGATCAGCAATTAGAAGGTAATGCTACATGGAACTATATATGCAGAGTGTTGTTATAGGTTGTATTAATATTTATATTGTCGGGACTAATAGCATAAAGTGAAGCAGTCTCTCTAAATCCAAATCAGTATTAAGACGCATTAGGACGCTGTCTTTCCAACAGCTCTGTTTCTTCACCTGAGGACAGCTGCTTGCGTTGTGGCCGAAACGTCGTGAGAATTTCATTTTATTATGTTTTATTTTTATTATTTTATTATTTCCCTTCTACGTGACTTTATCGAAAGAACCAAGAATAAGATAGCACGTTGCTATGTTCGGTTCTGAAGAAGCTCCCAGCAAGTGGAGCGAAAGGTTGGG